ATTTTTAATTATAAATTTTATATTTTTTTTTTATCTTAATTAATTTTCTTAAGTAAAAGACTATAAATTACTAAGTAATATACTATATTTTTATAAATTAAGTATTATTATATTATATTAAAATTCCTATAATTATAAATCCTAATATATTAGTTACTAGAAATATCTTTTATTTTAGATTAAAATACTATAGTACTAGAAGTCTAGAGAATATTTATTTTAATACCTTAAAAATACTTTAATTATTCTTTATTATTTTAAAGGGGCTATTTTTTTTCCCCTTTACTATTTTCTTTAATATATTATTTAGTAAGGTAGTAATCTTAAAGTACTAGTAAATAAATTTTTAAAAATATCCTATAAATCTTAGGAATACTTAAATATTATAGAATAAATATAGTTCTAGCTAGTTACTTATAATATATACTTACTTAAAATTTATTTAGATTCTTTTAATTTCTATAATAAAGTTAAGAAAATATACTTCCTTTTAGTAAAAGCTATATTTTAAAAATTTTATATAAAAATTGTCATGGCATAGCTGTATACCTATCTAGTTAGATTCTGCCCTAATTATCTACCTTTATTTCTATATTTAAGCCATATTATTCCTAATTCTATTATAGCTCTTCAAGCTATGTCCTTATCTTAATCTAACCCCTACCTATTATACCTATATATAGATGGCCTGAATATATACTCTACTATTAGTTATACTTATTATCTACCTGCTCTTTATAATATTATATAGCTCCTACTCTAGGTATAGTTACTACTAATATATTAAAATAACCTAAACCACCCCTAATTACAGACTCAGTCAAGAAATTTATAAGCTATATTATTAATAACCTTATTATCTAGATTATTTACCTTAGGTTACTACTATCTTTACTATACTTACTCCGACTACTATCCCTGCCCCTACTAAACATGCCCCCCTTACTAAAGCTATAGCAGCTAATATAATAGGAGTACCTATACCTATTTTTACTAGTCCTTTTTTTAATACCTATCTTAGTAAGAAACTCTCTAACCTATAAGAATTTAATAATACTTATTCTAATCTTTACTACTTTATATAATAGATTTATAATAAAATAGATACTAACCTAGACTATTTTCTAGCTACTAAGGCCTGACTAACCTATATAGTAGGATATCTAACTAGAAAGGCTTATAAATTAATCCTACCTAAAATAAGATTTAGTATCCCCTAGTTCCTAGACTATTCTAACTTACTTAACTATCTAGAAATAGTATTTAAAGATCCTAACTAAGTTTAAAATATTTAGAACTACCTCTATAGTTAGAAATAGAAGAACTTAGACTTTAGTACTTACTTTATAGAGTTTTATTATCTTATTCTAGAAAAGAAAATACTTAATAACTCCTTAATATTCCTCCTAACCTAAAATATCTTAAAGAATTATTAAAAGTATACTATAATAATTTATATATAAATTACTTTAATTAAAAGAAAATATTAAATTTAATTAAATAAAAATTTTACTAGAATATTTTATAATATAATATTAAAAAATATATAAAAAATTATTTAATTTATTAAAAAATAAAGATATCTAGATAACTTTTATAGGGCTAGTTTATAAAGCTTCTAGTACTAGAATATCTTTAGTAGGATCTAATTCTAGACTTTATTATAGGCTTATTACTATTAATATAAAAAGAATATATATATAATACTATCTTAATAATTATAGATTAATATATTAAGAAAGTTAAATATTTCTTAATAATAAAGAATATTAATATTAAGGAGCTAGCTAATATATTTATAGAAGAGATTATATTTAAAATAGGAGTATTAAAGAGTTTAATAAGTAATTATAACTTATTTTTTACTAGTAAATATTAGATCTAGCTATACTAGAAACTTTAAGTTAAAGAATAACTAAGTATTATATTTTATCTATAAATAAATAACTAAATAGAATATTAAAATTAAATATTAAAAATTTATTTAAAGATCTATATTAGTTATTAATAAATTAATTAATTAGATTAGCTAGATATAATAGAATTTATATATAATAATATAAAAAATATATTATTAGAAATATTCTTATATAAGATATAGTATAGCTACTAGCTAGTATTACTTAAGCTTATTAATATTAAGAACTCTAATATAATTATAATAGTAAGAGAATAGCTTAACTATTTATAAGTAAAATACTAGTAACTAGAAGAGAGCTTATACTATACTACTAAATAATAAGTAAGAAACTATAATAAAAAGTATTATTTAATTAACTACTATATAAATTAATAAATATTACTATTTATAAAGAATATCTATATATAAAGATCTAGTAAGAAACTAGATATAAAATATAAAGGACTATTTAAAATAATTAAAATAATAAATTAATAAATATACTATTTATAATTACTTAAATAATATAAGAAAATTTACCTAATTTTTTATATATTATTTTTTAAAAAATAAAATATAAAAGATAATAATTTACTAGTATTACTTTAGTTAGTTATTATTAATAATAAGAAAGAATAAAAGATAAAATAGATTATTATATAATAAAAGTTATATAATAAAGATTAATATCTAGTTAAATAAAAAGAATAGCTAATATATAAAAATATATAATAATTAGTAAAAGATTTAGAAAATATATAAGATATTTTAAATAAATTTTATTATATAAATAAGATATAAATAAAATACTAGTAAAATATTATAAATAAGTAAAATATAAAAATAATAGATTAATAAAATTAAGAAATTAAAAAAATTATAAAAATATATTAATAATATTATTTTTTTTCTTTTTTTTATTAAATTTTAAGATTTAATAAGAATATATTATAGATATTAAAGAATTTTTAAAAAATAATTTAATTTTATTATATAAAAATAAAAATAATAAATATTAATATTATAATATTAATAAATCTCTTATTTATTATAATTATTTTAAGCTTTTTTATTATTATTCTCTAATTTTACTATACTACTCCTAATATATTATATATTAAATAACTAAAATAAATTATAGTTAATAAACTATAGTAACCTTTCTATCTAGTTCTTAATTTTAAGATAATAAATAAAAATCTTAATAATATAAATCTATTAAATATAGGCTATTATATTTACTATCTTACTAGATATTATCTAAATCTCCTTAAAACTAATATATATAAATAAGATAATAAGAAAATACTTTTTATATAAGTAAGTATATTAAATATATTATTATTTTAAATTTAAATATATATAAAAATAAATTTTTATAAGATTATTATTTTTATATTATTAAAACTTAATATAATATAAGTAATATAATATTTATATAATAATAGATAAACTAGTAAAGGTAATTAGAATAGTTAGAGTAGCTAGAACTATAATAGTAGTAGGAATAATAAGAGCTAGTGTAATAATAGTAGCTAGAGTAGCTAGAGTTATAGTAGTTAAAGAGGCAGAAGGGAAGATAGCTAGAGTTACTATAGTTAAAGAGGTAGAGAGGGAGATAGCAGGAGTTACTATAATACTAGGAGTAGCTATAATAGTAGAGGATATAGAAAATATAGTCTTACTAAATAATAAAATAGTAATAACAGGAACTATAAAAAATATATTGATAATAATAAAGATTATAAATATTATAATTAATATAAATATAAAAAGATTTAATATAAAAATTTATAAATAATTAATATAATAAATTTATATTATTAAAATAAAAGTATTTATAGAAAAGAAAGTAATAATAATAAGATAATTTTTTTTATAGGAATATAACTAATATAATATCTAATAAAAAATATTTAAAAAAAACTATAAAATTTATAATATAATTAATTATTATTATAATATTTAAATAATAATAATTTATCTAGAATAATATATTAATTTATTAAAAGAAATTTTTTAAAATATAAATTAAATTAAAAAATATATATATAAAGAAATATTTCTCTATAATATTTATATTATAATAATATCTTTATTTATTATTAATATATCTAGTAAATTACTTACTTTTATTTATTATTTTATTTAAAATAAAATATAATATTATTTATATTTTATTTAATAAAATATAATTAATAGAAATAATATTATATATATTATTATTATTTCTAGTATTAAATAAAAAAGTAGATTATATTATACTAACTAGAACTAGCTCTCCCTAAGTAGGGTACTAAGCTAGATTAAGTATAATATATATAGCACGCGGATATGCTACTAAGAAAAGAAAAAATAATTATTATAATAATTATATAATATATAATTATATATTAAATTATATATTAAACTATATATTAAGTAATTAAAAATAATTAAGAGAATAGTAATATTTAAATTATCTATACTATATTAGTAACTTAACTAAGTAATATAAATAATAATATAATCACCCCCTAAAGTATTAAGAGGCAAGTACTTTATTTTATTACTTTTAATATCTTCCTACTACCCTTATACTCTATATAGCTTTGCTCCCTTTACCAACACTACCCATACCCAAGCGCCTCGCCAGCGAGACGCTTACAGGCTAATTCTAGCTAAAAAAGGAAAAATAAATAATACTAGTATTAAAATTACTACTTCTACTAAGTATATGCTTATTACTAGTATATTAAAAGTAATAAATATTTTATTTATATTAAATTTATACCCTAATAATAAGAGATAAGTTTATTATAGGTAGATAATTAATTTTCTATTTATAGTAAGGTTAGACTATACTAGCTCTACCTATACTGAGGTCCAGAGTTCATCATGGGTAGAACTAGTGCCACGCTAGTTCTACCCATGCGGAGTTTTTTTCTACCCACGCCGAGCTGTATCCCCCCATTTAGCTACCCCTAGGATCATTATATATCCGACAGGGGCCGTGCATCAGGTGATCACTGACTGTAATCAGCTGCCCAATTCAGATGTCTGATGGTGGATTAACATGCTCCCGTTGGGTTTGCATGGTTTGTATCACCAACCCTTTATTGCCCCTAGATGGCCGGCCATCTCTCTGAAAATATGTCTAAGCCTTTCGCTTTAGCACAATGTTCTCATTACTTCGAATCCTTTTTTTCACAGTATCCTCCTCTTTTCGAGCACTATGGTATCCTTTCAAGGTTATATTTGGTTCGATATCCAAGGCCTTGCATGGCCGGACATGCCGGAGTGATACTGAAGCGCTGGACATATCTTCACCACCCACTTCAAAAATTGTCAGTTTGCAATATACCTTGTCGATTTCAATGATTGCTCATGGATATAGGATGGCACGACTGTAAATGCAGGTGATTCAAATTCTATGTCCCACGTTGAGATTATCGAAGTGCGTCGATATTATCCTCCAGGGGTTTCAGAGATCATCGGTCGTGGTGGCGAGTGCTTCATTGGTGCCATCAACGATTCTACCGTTCTGAAATACCCATGCATCCCTGGCAACCATGAAAGCATTCATATAGAAGCCCAGATTCTTGATGTCCTCGGAAGTCACCCCCGAATCATCGCTTCAAAAGGCCTGACGGAATATGGCCTTATTCTACAGCGTGCCTCAAACGGTTCGTTGAGCGACTACATCACATCAGGATCCTTTATACCTTCTCACCGGAGATTACTTTGGTGCAAACAAGCTGCTGAAGCAGTGAGTTACATACATAGCAAACATGTCATTCACTGTGACATAAACCTTCGGAACTTTCTGCTTGACAAGGATTTTGATCTACTGCTTGCAGACTTCCAGGGGATGCTGAAGTCGGTTAATGGCAAAACACTACTGGACGGGCTCTCTCGGGAGTGTTCAAAGTCATACATGCCTCGTTGTCACGGGGACTATGCATGTGTGAAGACTGATCTCTTTGCGCTTGGTTCTGCTATCTATTTCATCATGACCGGACATGAAGTTTTTCCAGAGCTTGATAGCTTGGATGATGATGAAGAGATATTATCTCGCTTCCAAAATGGACTGTTTCCGATTGACAAGCATGCTTGTTACGACATTACGGATAAATGTTGGAGGCAGCAGTACCAGTCGGCTGATGATGTTGCTTCTGATCTATCTCTAATTCAAGCATCCAAGAGGGTTGCTGAATAGTTGAAAACAGCGAGAGACAATATATTTCAAAATACGCAGGATTGCTTCACAGCTGTACCCTTAATTTCCATTCATTCTCCCTTCACCTCATAAAACGCGAGCCGGATTTCATGTAAGACATGTTATACCGCCATGTTCGAACCTCAGCACTTAGGGCATATTCCTCCTTTTTTGGTTGATTGACCCATATGCTTATCCTTGTATCCACCACAGTGCGACTTGCCACAGGGCGGCTGAGGATCGTAGGTTATAATGATGTGTTTTGGTTGTGCAGTGCAGTTCACAAATTTGGTGGTATAGATGAATCGAATACACATCTTGATCTTCGAGAGGGTATTTCACGAATGCTTGTCTAAAAGTAGTTAGACTAGGGCGAAAGATTTGATGCAATGGTAAAGAAATTCTTAGCTTACTTGATGTACGTATGTCGTACTATTTATTTATCGGTGAGACTGTTGTGGGAATACAAAGAATTAGGGGAAGATAATTTATAATCCAAAGTTACCCACGGGTTAGCTGATGCTTGCATAAGTCGTTGAATTGGTTTGGCTTGAAATGAGAAAAGTCATATCTTGTTGAGTGTCTGTGTGATCATGACATCCCCTCTGCGGGCCATGCTGGGATATTGTGAGCGATCACGACGCATCATGTGTATTAGTTGGATCAAACCTGCCATCTCTAGGCCCGGGCATGAAGATGAGGGGTAAGCATGCTGGCACAGGTGATTGGCTGCTAATCTATATGCAAATAAACTGGGAGTGTTATTATTAGCGGGGGACGGCTCCTGTACTAGCATCCATCGAATGCATTCAAATTGTGAGGGCTCGAGCGAAAAGCCTTGTCTACCGCATGGATTGGGCGGGGAACCCTGTCTAGAATATGTGACTCCCTTCGCCCGTGACCATATATAAAATCCACTAGGTTAGAGCGATTACCTGCTATTTCCGTCCTCATCCTAACCTGTTGAACTGATAAATTGGTGGTAAATACCACAATGCTATCTCCAACCAGGGCACAGCATTATGACTACTGGGGTGGGAGAAATAACAGAAATCTCAATAATAAGGGCTTACAGCTCGGCGTGGGTAGAAAAAAACTCGGCGTGGGTAGAACCCTGGAATGGATTAACTCTTGGCGTGGGTAGAGATTCTACCCATGATGAGGTTGGCCCATGCTAGCTCTACCCATGATGAGCTATTTATCTAACCATAATAGGGTCTTGTTTAAGATTACCTACTATCCATGCCTTTCTGCCCACCTAAACTACTACCTACTTTAGGTGCACCACATATTCTTTATAATCATATATTTTTCATAATTTTTTTAATATTTAAAGCTATATAATAATAATAATATTAGTAATTAAAATAAAAAAACTCTCTAGCTTCTTTAATATATTTTATATTATTAATTCCTTTTTAAATTAACTCTTATAAGTATAGAGGGGGTAAAAAACTATATACTTTCTTTTTTTACTTTACTAACTTCTTTTATTTATATTTAGTATTCTTTACCTTCCTATCTTTAATTAATTAAATAATATTATAAACTCTTAGAACTCTATTACTAGATAGATCTTTAATCTAGTATTTAGTATAAACCTAGTATTAAAACTCTTATATAGCCCTAATTCTTTAAATTACTTTCTAGATTATTTTTAGCTTCTTAAGCTTCTCTACCTAATATTAAAAGAATTTTAATATATTCTACCTTATTTAATTAAATACTTTATCAAGTTTCTTTATAATCTTTACCTAATTCTTTAGAAGAGCCTCTATTATTACTAGAGAACTATTTTTAATGCTAGAGAATAATAATAGTAGTAGAGATAAGGTTTAATAAAGATTAATTAATATATCTAGTATATCTATCTAATTTACTAGTTTTTTAATAATTTTAATATTATTAACTAGCCAGATACTATATTCTTTAAAGGTATCTTAAATAATTTACTATAGAAAGGTCTAGTTATAGATTAGCTAGATAATCTTCAAGAACTCTGCCTTCCTATATGGCTTACTGTCACGGCGTGCACTAGGTGCACTGGTGCCAAGGCAATGATTACTAGGGTATATAAGGTGGGATTCGGGCAGATCAGACTATTAGGTCTAATCATAGTAACCTTTTGGTCCAATAGTATAGTATATTGCCCGAATCACATGCTCTTACAAGTATGATCAGACCTGATAGGTAGATGGCTGTGGTTCGAATCTGGCTAGTATTATTGTGCGACAATGATAATTAAGTCCTAGGGTTGGGTAGTCCTGCTAGACCTAAAATAGGTGCTAGGGCTGGGTTGAGTCCCACTAGGCTGAATAGGTGCTAGGGCTGGGTTGAGTCCCGCTAGACCTGAGGTGCTAGGGCTGGGTTGAGTCCCGCTAGACCTGGTTGTGCTACCAGATTTTGAGCCATGCCTACCTGCTCACAGCCCTTAGCTTAGCCTAGCTAGCCTAGGGCTAGGGGTCCCTACTGAATATATGCTAGTCGGCTTGCGGTCAAGCCTTATCTCAAGGAAGGAGATAGTTGTCACGGCGTGCACTAGGTGCACTGGTGCCAAGGCAATGATTACTAGGGTATATAAGGTGGGATTCGGGCAGATCAGACCATCAGGTCTGATCATAGTGACCTTTTGGTCCAATGGTATAGTATGTTGCCCGAATCACATGCTCTTACACTTACCCCCCTATTAAGATAGCTTATTATTCTGAGTTGGTGGGATATTCTATTTCTGTATTTATATAATCTAGTTGATTAAGGCCTTCTCCTGATATAGTTATAGAAGGTTCTTATTTATTATTATTAGTATTACTAGTATCTTTAGTTTTTTAAAGTATGTTTAGAGTATAAAGTCAGGCATATTAAATTCTCATGCAATCTTTATAATATTTAGTTTTTTTTACTTTTTAACTATGGCAATAGCTTCAAGCAAGTAAGATTTATTAAAATCTAGAGATTTAGGCATATTGTATTGTAATAATAATAAAAATAAGTTAAAATATTAAAAATCGCGAAGAATGTGTGGCGCACCTAAAGCGGGTAGCGGTTTAGGTGGGCAGAAAGGCATGGATACAGCTTCACGCCATGATAATAATTACCTAATTAATAACTTACTTTAACACACATCTGTTGAATTGAAGGCGTATCTCGTGATGTACTTAGTAAGCAAAGGGGGGGTTATTACCCTATATTAAGGCCTTAGGCAAGCACACAACCCCCTAACAGACACACACATCAATATATCCAATCACCTGCTTCCATTAAGCTACCCCTAGGATCATTATATATCTAATAATTAAGAGTCTTATATTTGCTTAAAGCACGTGAATCTATACCAACAACCCCTACCAAAACCTACTAATCATTAAAATACCAACAACCCCTATCAAACCTACTAATTAGTAAAATACTAAGCGCAATACCTCTAACTACTAATAATAAAGACAATGCAGTAAGGCTCACCAAGTAGGAAGACTAGCTAATATAGCAATCCTTATTTAAAGCACAGGCAAGAGATAATAATCTATAAGAAATAATAGAAGGTAGCAAGAGTTATCTATAATAACCTACTAGATTAATCAGGGATAGTAGAGAAACTTTACTAGTAAATAGTACTAGGAGTTCTATAGTATTATTATAAGACTTTAACTCTGAAGTAGTACTCTATAAAATAGAAATAGATAAGTATAACTATTAGGTTACAGAACTCAGGAAATTAAAAGATTAGATCTAATATATTATTTCCCTAAAAATCTATTACTTTTACTATGAGCTAATAGAAACCCTAGAGGAGTAGTACCTCAAACTAAAAGAGTACATGGTAGTTAACTAGAGATAAATTTAAAATATAGCTTATAATATCTATATAAAGGTAATCTGACCCCCAAAAGGCAACCTAGTTAATTAGTTGAATAACTAGGAATTTGCTATTTAACAGGCAATTAAAGTAAACCTTGGAGTTATAATATTACTACTAGACTGGGTAGAAGACTTCCTAAATATAATATATTACCTAACTCTATCCTGGACTGCATCTTATTAGTTAGACTATAAGAAGGAGATACTAGCAGGAATATTATTATTCTATATTATAGTAAATAACTTCTATGACACTATTAATATATTCCCGCAGTAGTATAATAAGACTGGTAGAGGGGCTTTTAGACCAACATTTGCTACTAAAGATATAATAGATATAACTAGTAATAAAGAAATATCCCTGCTACAGGATAAGAGAATAAAATATAAGTATAAATATAATAGTATAGGAAGAATAGACTCTAAAAGGAGTACTTCTAAGAACTTATATTAGTTATATAATATATATTCTTAAAGGCATGAATAGACATAATACTTTTATCTATTCCTAGAAAAGGCGCCTAAGGACTTTAAGGAAAGGAGTATAATAAGAAAGCTAGTTAATATATAACTCAAGATAAATAAGGCCCTAGCTAAAAAGGTAGTAAAGGAGCAAGAATAAAATAAATAAGACCTGGAATAACTAGAAGGAAGAAGTAATTAAGGAGTAGATTAAATAAAAGGCAGGAATAAAGGTAAAGTTAAAGCTTTATTTAATATCTAATTTAAAACTATACTATATCTATTATAGCACTCTATTATTCTTAACTCAGGATTATTAATTTATATATTTAATAATTTATATTAATTTAAGTAATATATGGAATTAATACAAGATAACTATATATAAGTAGGAGACTTAAAAGTACCTATTATAGGATATAGAGATGTTAGTATATAGATTATAACTTAAAAAAATAAAGATATAAAACATAACTATATAATCCTTAAAAATATGGCTTACTATAAAGAAATAATATATAATCTAGTATTACTTATATTACTAAACTAAATAAGTATCTATTTTAAGAATAATCCTAACTCTAACCTACTCTATATCTCTAAAGGTGCAGTAGCAGCCTATCTTAATAAGAAATATAGCTAATTTATAATAGAATATAATAGCAAATCATATAGTATAACAGGCCAGGCAATATTCTAAACTATTGCTAGTATTAGAGATATAAAACAGTAGTATTTACGCCTTGGATATCTAGGACTACAGGCATTAGATTACCTAGTTAAGAATGCTAAGAAGGTAAGGATTAGAGGACCCACTATAATAGAATATAATGCCTGCAGTATAGTAAAAATAAAGTAAAAAATTAACTAAAAGGACTATATTACTATAGAAGGATTAGGTCTATAGTTAATAATTAACTTTCATAACTTTAAAATAGGGATAGATAACTACCAAGCCCTACTATTAGTTATAAATAGATAGTTAGGTTTTATATAGGACTACTACCTCTTAAACTAATATATAGAGATAATTAAAAATATCCTGCTTAACTTATTTACTCTCCTAGAGAGGTAATATAATATTAAATCTTAAGTAATTAAGTTAGATAGTAAGATAAAGGGATGGTTAGAAGACTTTATATAATTTAAAGGAGCAAGACTTAACTACTCTACTCTATATATACTAGCCCAAAATGGAGGTGTAAAGTGCTTAAGGGGTATAATAAAAGAGAAGGCATGTGTAATAAGATAGGGAATAAAACTACTTATATTTCTATAGCCTGAATATATTTATATAGTAGTATACTTATATAACCGAATACCTAAATATTAGGTAGGATAGAAAATACTAATTAATTAATTCTATACCTATATTACCTACTAAGATAAAATAGTAGCAGAATATAAGAAATTCTAAGGAGCTTACCTAAAGATATATAGTTATAAGATATTTATAATAATTAAATTATAAGTAACTATAATAGTAAAGTATAGAAAGTAGTTCAACCCAAGAGCATTTATAAGATATATAGTAGGATATAAATCTACTAATATCTATTAAATATAGAACTTAAGAAAGGAAAGGAAGATTATCTGCACAAGGGATATTATATTTAATAAGAAAGAATTCTTCTTAGGAGATAGAGATATATTTATCTAAATAATAAAGGATAACTTCCTGATAATTAAAATTAATAAATTTAAATAAATAATTAAAGATATTAAAGTTAAAACCTATATTCTAATCTAGGGAGTATTAAATATAGATTACCCTATAATAAGAGATATTCTAGAAGGTAATTTTAACTTGCTTAATTATCTAGTTTAAATATCAAGATCAGTACTTAAAGCCGCGGATAAGGATAAGAATACTAATATAAATAAGTAAATAGCTTATCTAATACTACTAGGTGGCAGCCTAGAATAGTTAGCAGCAATATTAGCAGGTACTTACTAACATAAGATAGCTAAAACTAAAGAAGAAACTAAGCCAAATAAAAGCTACTAAATTACATGGAAATCAGCATTCATGGCGGGGAGGTTAATATAACTAATCTAATAAGATAGAATACTAGTCTCTAAGGCAGAAATATAAAGATAGAATAGGTAATTAGAGAGTCTAATTAGAACCTACCTAGATTAGCTACTAACCCTTCTAAAGATATACTACCAAGTTAAAAACTATCTACTATCTAAAGAATTTATAAAGGCAGAGCAGGACTACCTAGCTAGCTATAAAATAATGAAAATATAGGTAGAGGTAGATAGACTTAAGCATGTAAAAGTACTAGAATATAAATAAGTATATATATATAAAAGTAATCAAGGCAGTAACTTAACTAAATATAAAGTATATCTAGTAGTAAGAAAAGATTAATAAGAGGATTTAATAAAGGACCTATATATTATAATTCTAGTAGTAAGATCTCTCTAAACCTTCCTAGTAGTAGTAGCCTGATTTAATCTAGAATTAAAGTAATATAATATTATAAATATATTTATTAATATAAATAATAATAAGGAAATATATATAGAAATACCTCTAGAATATTAAAAATTAGGTAAAGTATTAAAGTTAAAGAAAGTACTATATAAACTTAAATAGTCCCCTTATCTATAGTAGATAACTCTCTAAAAGGTTCTAAAGTTACTAGGATATAAACCTATTCTATATGAATTATATTATGTTACTAGAGGCAGGATCCTAATATTCTTTTATATAAATAATATTATATTTACTTATTACTAAAAATTATTAGTATAAATACAGGCTACCACATAAGAGCTTCAGGACTAGTTTAAGATAATAGGAGAAAATAACCTGCAATAGTTCCTAGGAATAGAGATTACCTAGGATAGAGAGAATAGGCTTATCTAGCTAGGTTAGTTAGTATATATTAACAAGATTACTAACCTAGTAGATAGAAAGGAAGGTTTAGATATTACTCCTATATTAGTAAAAATAGTGCCCTAGAAAGATTAAGATAGAGTATCTTACCTATATACTTAATAATATTAATAGAAGGTGGGATCTATAATATATATAATAATTATAACTTAACTAGATATTATATTTATAATATTCTAGCTATCCTAGTACCTTATAAACCCTAGTAAAGAATATTATACCAAAGCAGATTAATACCTATAATATTTAAAAAGAATAAATAAACTTGCCCTATAACTTAGAGATTTAGATAACTACCTATTATATAGTAATACCTTATTTATAGATAATCAGGACTAGAGAAGCTTGCAGGGGTATATTATAAAGTTATTTAGAGGTATAATAGGGTAGAAAGCTAGTAAGTAGGTAACTATAATAATCTCTATAATTAAAGTAGAATTATTAGCATTATTATATATAGTAAAGGAAGAAATCTTTACTAAATATTTGCTAGATAAAATTTAGGTAGAGTTAGAGAATCTAACTATTAATATTTAATATAATAATATATAAACTATCTAACTAGTAAATAAGAAAATTAACTATTTAAATATAAGGCTATGCCATGTAGATATCTATAACTACTAGATTAGGTAGGAAGCCTAGAAAGGAAGGATAAAAGTATTATATTATTCTACTATTAAGATAATTATAGATAGGTTAACTAAGGTGCTACCCTACTAAAGCTTCAAGGCATTTATAAAGGATTTGAGGATGGTAGAAAGACTAAAGTTAATGGATAACCTACTACTAGATATAGTTTAAACTTATCCAGGATAAGGATGGTATCTTAAATTATGTAATTGTAGGTTTAAACTAGATAAAATCCTTTGAACTTGAGGGGGTGTGTTAAATTAAAGGTATATCTTGTGATGTACTTAGTAAGTAAAGGGGGGGTTATTACCCTATATTAAGGCCTTAGGCAAGCACACAACCCCCCAATAGACACACACATCAATATATCCGATCACCTGCTTCCATTGAGCTACCCCTAGGATCATCATATATCCGACAACATCAGCAAATCACATGTGGTCATGTGACACCGCATGATAGATAATCCACTCCAGTCAAGATCCCGGTGCTTTACATCAGCAGTCACACATGATTACATTTTTTGACCCCTCCACCTACAAGTCCAACTCTCGGACTTTCGCAAATGATACCCCTAATCAACATTCGGTTCAAGTGTTCATAAATCCAAAATGCGACTCAAAAACATCTCAGCCCAGTTGAAGGACATCCTTGATGCTATGAGGAGGCTTATCGCGGAGGACAAAACAGATCACTTAAGGGTGGATAAAAGTGGTTGGCAGTATGGAGGCAAAAGTTTCATCGAACTTGTGGATTTGCTGCATGAGAATATGAGCGAAGAGCTAAAAAGCCAAGAAATTAATGTCAGTAAGTTCTGGCCTCTTCAATGGCCATTTAGTTGTTAAGTATCGCAATAGGTGGCTGGATGTACCGTGCGACACTTTTTAAGAGGGGCAAATATAACCCCATCTGATCCAGCGAAACGATTATTAATTATCCCAATCAATGGAGTTTCGACTCTCCTCCCTGGCGGCGAACTACCTCTAGATACCTATTGCTTCATCAACGACCGACCGACGCTCTCCGGCCGAGATATTGATGTTGTTTTTGTCGCATTTGACTTACCAGAGAAGAAAACATAGCCTTTGAGATACAATGCATTGGATGCTGTCTGTACGGTTAAGGAACAGTCTGAGATATGGATGTGTTGACTAGAGGATGGAAAGTCATTGCATCATTATGTTCTAGTAGAATCTCGTGGCTATCACCGTTTTGCCCGGAAAAAGTAGGCATCTACGGCTCCGTACCACTACCCTCAAAACCCGGATTACTGTTTCCGGCACTTGGCGTTGCATGCATACGGGGGATTGAAGGGGTCTGAAGAGCTTGGGGATCAAAATGTGGTAAAATGTCTTGAAGAGGGTCGAAATCGGGGAAAATCTCCCGAAGCGGGTCGAAATTGGGGAAAATCTCTTGAAGGGAGTCAGGATTCCCATACAAGACATGCTGGGGTGGATGTGATTCTGTATTGGTAGAATCAATTGCTGGAGCATGGTTGAGTCCCTGCATAATGCGATCATTTCCTGCAACACTGTCGATCACGACTGGTTCGACTCGCAAATTCGATAGCCCACGCATGCGTGTTTGTTTAGATGGACCCTGTTCAAGAAACTCGTCAGATTCGCGCGAGTGTTTTCGATTACGTTGTTGGCTTCTAAATTCCTCTAAATGTACATGAGCTCTGGAAGTCATCGTAACAATGCGCTTTACTTACCACAAGACTCGTGGTATTCGGATCGGCAAGTGGACAACCATTCTGCATTTTCCTTGGCCAGTTTTGACCATTCCTTGGATTTATGAACCATTTTTGCTAATGAATGGAGGTGCGTGTAGGTGAGATCCCGGAAATATCACGAGCACTCCATGATCCCCATAGATATTCTCAAATGCATGATACTTTAACCCATGTTGTATAGATTTCCGGGTTTTTTCACCCTGGGACATAACAGACAAATATTCAGTAATATGACCCTGTGACTTTCTTTCTGTATTCCTTGCATCCAAATTCAAGAGCGAAGAGCGAGAACAATTATAGGTGGTTTGTGCCCATGTCATATAATCTTCGGCCCATGAGTATCGCCCCAGCCATCCGCGAAACTTTTGAGAAACTGTGGCTCGACGCTCTGATAGCGCAATATCAACGTTTCGGGGATCATCGCATGTCCAGTCATGGTTCTTGGAAATCGCATTCTTCTCAGTCTTCTTCACGAAAGAGTGAATCATTTTGGATTTACGCTGGAGATTTTCCATGAAGGAGACAACCTCAGGTGCTATCAAGCTCCCGCCGTTGTCGTCACAATGACTCAAATCTGAGTCGTGAGGTTGATGCTCTGGTTGATGTTCTGGTCGATGTTCTGAAGTCGGCAATTGGTTTGATGAAATTGGGGAATTCAGCGTTCGCCCCAACGTATTGATAGCAACTTGTATTTGTTGTCGTTCATAATGCGGCAAGGTGTGAATAACCAAATTTGGTAGATTTACTGATATGAATTGAGCCGCATCCAAAATTTCTTTGAAAAGATCCATTTTGGTCAAAGGCAAGGAAATGGAATGCTAGGCACAGTGAGATGAGTGGGATGTCAGGACATATTAGGACCTCAGGCCGCTGCTACTCTTGGCTTTGGCCCGGGGGCCAAAGCCAAGACCTTGATGTTGTCGCACTGCAATGACACGTCATCTAATCTTGCGTTTTGTAGCATGAGCACCAATTTATCGACTCCAGGGTGTATTAAAAATTAATCTACTATAGTGGGGCAAACCTCTTCAACAGGTCAAAAGACTGTATGAGACCTCTGAGGTTGTCTAGCTATCAGGCTGAGCTGAGTGCGCTTATAGAGGGGTGGAGGTGATTGGGTCTAGAGTGATGGTTCCTGGGATCAACATTTCACCTACATGCACTTTAGTGTTGGAATGTGAAATTTTACCAAACGCGATGGCTCCCTGGAAAACAAAAAGGTCGCCTATTCTTCCGTGTTTGGCGGGCATTGATGCTCGGACATCGTAAGGCTCAACTCGTGTATCTTGGGACTCGATCATCTCTGGAGGACCCGGTGTTGCCCGCATATAGAGGGCAACAATGAGCTAAAGTGTATGCACGGGCGCTTTCTATTCAGTTACAATCTACTCGCCCCAGCTTTATGGCAAGAATGGCTGTTTACATATCTGATCGGCTGCCTAGCCTCGCTAGCTTGTGTCAGTATAAAAGGCAGTTGGCCAACCTCATCTCTTCCGGGCTGTTCAGCTTACATAATCTATAGGACTTTTTGACTCATCGTTTCCTTCAACAATATGCCCAGTTTTACTGTAGAAGATCTTTTGAATACTTTCCCCCCACCAGTTTGCGATGATAACGACGCATTCACACCTTCCCAGAAACCCTGGACGAGCGAATACCCTATCTTTCCGAGGCAATATGTGACTCCCTATCCAGAAACCCACGCGGGCGTCGACGAGTTCCTCGGTCCGGGTGATAACCCTTCTGCGGCCGACTTTCTGGGCCTTGCGACTCCTGCCCACCGTCCAAACCCTATTAAGCAACATATACTCAGTGAAGCCGATGTCTCACGGGATTTCGATCAAAATATAGCTCCTGGCACTGCTTTAGCCTTCTCTGGTCCTAGTGCGGTTACCATGGTTCAAGGCCGGCTTCGACCAAATGGACCTGAATTACGCCAACGATCCATGATGAAACCACCCACGTCAACATCAGCAAGGAATATTGATTGGCAATTCGAGATGCTACATCCGGATTCTCGTTATATCACGAGGGCTGCAATAGTAGGAGAAATGAAAAAGCCTCGGTCTCTGATCATAGCGGAGTGGGTAGGGGAAGCCCGTCCAGGCGCAGTGACACAACTTCTTATGAAAGAGATTAGAGCGTATGTATCAAAATAGTACTACCACTGGCCTAAGCTAATATATTCTGACTTTGCAGATATGCTCATTTATATCAGTGTCCCCAGGCCTTTTACTATGATTCAAAATACCTACTCCTCATTCAATTTCGCGCTCTATCGGCGGATGAGATCAGGAGTGAAAATTGTCTAATCGATATATGTGCAATTCCTCGAGAATCTCTCCATCAACTCCAGTGTACTATGCAATATGGCCTTTACAGGCTGACTTGGCGTGGCTGGGTCCGCCTTAGTGCAACACAAAGCAGCACCAATCACCAAGACCGACTCGTGGCATCACGCGTTAATCTTCGTAGCTCCCATGGTATGGTGCGCAGGTATGAATTCTATTCCGGGCTACCTGTCTGGATGGGTCGTGATGGAAGCGAGGACTTCAGCCATCCAGATTACTGTAATTCGCGTCGGGACTTCAGATGGACGTCTCAGCAAGATGGTGTTTGGGCGTGGTACATTCATATGGATTGGATAGAAGATGATACCGCGAATTGTTTTGTTCATTCATACTGGCCGCCAGTCCAGCGTCTACTTTAACTGCCGTATGCCTAGTTTAGTAAATCAATTCATATGCGAATATTGGAAAGTCCGGGTTCTTGTTCAGAAATGGTATATATTCAATTCCGTGCGTATCTTCAGAAAAACAATGCATAGTAAAGGAAGATTACTATCAACACTAGATTATAAGTGCTATGACGTCCTAGTCTTGGCATTTCCAACCTAGGCCGCGGGGGGGGGGGCTTATAGATTGGTGTTAGAAACCAAGAGCAGCGCGCAGCATCTCTTATGTAGATTATGCAAACCCAGTCTGTCCACTAAGTGGCGAGTGAATAATTACAAGCTACCTCCAAGCAGCAGGTACCTAGGTAGGGTAGAGCGCTTGAGCCAGAATCCTTGGCATAGCCTTGAATTTAATTGGCTGCACAGATCATAGATGATGGACTAATGACGGTCCGATATTCGCGCGCGGCTTCACGCCCTGCCTCTCTATCCCTTTGGCAAATGTACAAGGAATGAGCACATACTGATTCCTGCCGCAAAGCTCACGCAAGGGGCAGCATACATCATTATCCATCTAGAGTACGACCCTGTTACCTAGATAGCAAGCCATAAATAGTCTGTGGGCCTGCACTTTTCCTCGCCGACACTTTTCCTTATGCTGCCGATCGCTTTACCACAGAAAATGGAGCTATTTCAGGTGAGCGACAATGCATCGTCCAGCTGGAGAGCAATTAATTCTGACATAAGATTAGACCACCCATCTACACGTGGACGGCCAGAACCTGGCAATAAGAAATATCGAGCAACTACATCCCCAGCGGATTACAGTGCACCGTGTGACACTTGAGCCAAAGTCCAACTTTGGGACACTGATAATTAAACAACAAAAGGATGGGTGGAATAACGAATTTGAGGCCGAGAAGGAAGCGTACCAGAGACTAAGCAGTCTCCAAGGGGACGTGATTCCGAGCCTCCTCGGCGAGTGTCGATTTAATGGGCACCCGGCACTCATTCTCTCCGATGTAGGTGGGGCCACTCTTCACCAAATCGCTCGAAGCGACTTCAAAGTCTCAGATGAAGTTTTGAGGGCATCACTTGAAACCGCGCTCAAAACTCTGTATCGCCATGGTGCTGAATATTGGGATCAGAAATTAGATAATTTCATATTCAGCGACGGGAAAGTGGTAATAGTTGACCTTGAACAAATCCAGTTCCGGGAAGACCCAGGCCAGTGGGAGGAACACGTGAATTTCGGCGGCATAGGCTCACTCATGGAATATTTCCGCTCTGCTCGAAATCCACACCGAGTACAGTCTCCGGTTCTCATCCCTCTCCCACCACCACGTCCGAAAAAACATATACAAATTTGGGAAATTTGGGAACTTGATAGAACTAGTGAAATGTCTGTTGTCGATATTAGTCCCTCTTTGCCTACCTCCGGTAGCCTTTAGTATGTGCTCATTCAACTCTTATGTTCTTCCCTTGATAATCTTTACAATTTTCTGTTATGGGCCAGGCTCCCTATCTCTGTTGTCTCTACCCGTCGCCTGGCCTGAACGAATTGTAGAAATATAGGCTATCCCTAATATAGGAGAAAGCAGAAAATTTGTCTTGTAATTAATAAGTAAAGCTAGTTAACTAAGGTACCCCTATATTAACTAGTGCTTAACTGTTATCCTAGCAACAATACATATAACTATCTCTACCAGTTTTTACTATAGTGTTTTACCATTGAGCTACCCCCAGGATTACTTAATAATCCAACGGGGATATAGCTCGGCGTGGGTAGAAAAAAACTCCGCGTGGGTAGAACTAGCATGGTGCTAGTTCTACCCATGATGAACTCTGGACCTCAGTATGGGTAGAGCTAGCATAGTTTAACCTTATTATAGATAGAAATTAATTTTCTACTTATAATAAGTTTATTTCTTATTATTAGGATATATATTTAATATAAATAAAATATTTATTACTTCTAATATACTAGTAATAGGTATATATTTAATAAAAATAATAATTTTAATACTATTATTATTTATTATTCCTTTTTTAACTAAAATTAGCTTTTATATTAATAATATAAAGTAATAATAGTAAATTTTAGTATAGTAATAAATAATCTTAAATAAGACCCTATTTTAGTTAGATAAATAGCTTATTATGGGTAGAGCTAGTATAAGCTAATCTTATTATAGGTAGAATCTCTACCCATATTAAGAGTTAATCTATTCTAGGGTTCTACTTATATGGAGTTTTTTTCTACCCACACCAAGCTATAAGCCCTAATCCAACAATAATGTTGAAGTGAGTTGTTGATTAGGTAACTATCTAAGACTATCTCACTACTCTATCCCACAAGGGTTGAGGAAGGCTACTAGGGTGGCTCTAGGGTTTTGCGGAGGACCAGCGCTGATTGGTCAGCTTATCATAGGGTGGCTCAATTTTCAGGAGTAGGGTGCCTGTAGAACCTATTATATATTATAGCTTAAATTTTTACTAGATATAGATTAGCTACTTAAATTATAGATTCCTAAGTTTTAGAGCCTGTAGGTATTAGGTAAATATATAGTAATATATTAAAGTTGGTTAGGATTCTATTAAAGATTTGGTAGGAAATAGACTTAGATAGTTATATATAGTAGTAATAGATTAGTTATACTAGTAAATTAAATAATCAGGGGCTAGTTTAGCTAAAAAGTCTAGTTAAACTTTAATTTCTCTAAGTATTTTTATTAGTTTTCCTATCTAATATTATATTTTTATCTATCCCACAAGGGTTGAGGAAGGCTACTAGGGTGGCTCTAGGGTTTTGTAGAGGACCAGTGCTGATTGGTCAGCTTATCCCACAAGGGTTGAGGAAGGCTACTAGGGTGGCTCTAGGGTTTTGTGGAGGACCAGCGCTGATTAGTCAGCTTATTATAGGATGGCTTAATTTTCAGGAGTAGGGTACTTATAGAACCTGTTGTATGTTATAGCTTAAATTTTTACTAGATATAGATTAGCTACTTAAATTATAGATTTCTAAATTTTAGAGCTTATAGGTATTAGGTAAATATATAGTAGTATATTAAAGTTAGTTAGGATTTTATTAAAAATTTAGTAAGGGATAGACTTAAATAGCTATATATAGTAGTAATAGATTAGTTATACTAGTAAATTAAATAATTAGGGGCTAGTTTAGTTAAAAAGCCTAATTAAATTTTAATTTCTCTAAGTATTTTTATTAATTTTCTTATCTAATATTATATTTTTATTTATATCTAGCTATTATTTATTTATATTTTATTATAAAATACTAGCTATTTAAGAAGATTCCTATATTATAAATTATTATATATTACTAGTACTAGTATAATATTTATCCTAAAAAGGTTATAATATACCTATAAAAGAAGTATTTTCTCAAGCTATAAGATAGTTAACCTATTACTTAGATAGTAGCTAGCTAGGCAGGAATTATCTAGTAACTAGATAATTTATATATTCCTTATATACTAGATATACTAGTTCTTATTATTCCTATTTATATTAACAGGCTATTATACTAGTATAATTATAGTAAGGGACTAGAGTAATATATATATATTATTATTAGTATTAAATTTATATAAAATTACTAGAAAGAAATATATAATTAGATCTAGTACTAGTTCTATAGAGGGATTCCTGCCTAGAAGTAAGAGAAGTAATAGATCTAGCTTTAGTAATTATTTTACCTAATTACCTAGTAGTAGGTATTTCCTAGTTAGAAAAATTTCTATTTAATATATATTCTATTATATAATTCCTAGCCTAAGGAGTAACCTGTCCTAATTACTACCTATAAGTAGCTAGTTGCGGAGATCAAGGCATGGATAGTAGTAGATAAGTAGGAGGCAGCTACCTAGGTTATCTAGGCTAGGGAGCTCTAGAATATTAATCTATAGCTATACATGACCTACTAGGCCTGGTATTTAATTAATATATATATTCTAGACCTGCTTATAATAGTAGTTACTCCTAATCTTGAGCTAGAGGACCCTGTAAGTAGTACCACGCGCATAATATAAGATATTATAGAATCACTAGTCTAGCATAGCTAGTATATAGTAAAGTAATATAGGAATAGGATCTAAATAGCTACTATATATATTATACTATACTAGACTCTATACTAGCTATTATAAATATATATAGATAAGAAAAGTATTTAAGACTATATCTAATTATAATAGTAGATTTTACTATTTATTATCTATATATAGATAGACTAGTTATAAAAATAGTAGCTATAGTATATTATAATTACCTAGTAGTAGAAAATATAATAATAATTATAGTAAATAGCTATATAAGAATCCTAGTATAATTCTAATTTTATAGAGGTTAAGGATTAGCTCTTTATAATCTAGTTATTTATTATAACTATAATTAAGACTATATATTTAGAGTTTTATATTAAGTTATTAAACTAAAAAATTAAGATTTATAAGTATAAGAGCCTATTAATCTATACTATAACTATATTAGGTTAGAAAAAGGTAATCTAGTAAAATTCTAAAAGTTACCTATTTATTATTTTCTAGATATTAAAAGTAGTATACTTTATACTTATATAAAAAGTATTATAGCTAGATTTATAGTATATAGAGATTATTTATATATAGGCTATAATTATAGAGTAAGGATTATAAATAGGGGATATTATAAATAAAGAGTTAGGATTTATTATTAATAAAGAATATATAAAAGGACCTAATATCCTTATTATATCTTCCCTATCTAGTCTACTATCTAGCCTACTTAGCCTGTCTATAATCCTTATCTACTAGATTCCCTAAACCTAGGGAATGCTATTCTAAGCTAGAGTAGACTAGATAATCTAGTAATTTATAATTTATAGCTAGCATAGGCCTGTAGAGATATTACTAGATTAATAAATTTTTAAATTAAAGATTTATTATAATATTATTATCTCTAGGTATATAATCTAGATAGGATAGGAGTAGTTATTATATAAAAAAATAAGTTTTATTATAAGTAAGTTTTAGGAATTCATGCATGACTTAATTAGGGTTATATAAAAGTTTATAGTAAGATTATTATATTAATTTAATTTAGATTAATAGCCTGCTATTCTATAGGATTAGTTATTTAATAATTCTATTAAAGCTATCCCTAGCTAGAGTTTTTTATAGGATATACAGACCTGGTAGCCTATAGTTAGGTATAGCTAGCTACTAGACTAGATTATGTAAGAACTTGCTATGGCCTGTACCTTTACTATCTAGGGGAAGGTTAATAGCCTTAAGATCTAGAAATATTTCTAGCAGGTAGCCTAATTTAAGGAGAAGCTAGTAGTAGCTATATATTTAACTAGTAAGGTATCTATATAAGCTCTAGAGTTATTAAGTATTTAATATATAAATATTAAGACTAACTAGTACTAAAATATATATATTAAGGATAGTATAGTAGTATTTATTACTATATATTATAAAGAATTCTATACTAATAATAATATAAAGATTATTTATTAGTATTTATTCTAAATAATTAGTAAGTTAGTTATATAATATTTATAGTTAGTATTATTATTTATATAATAACTAGTAATATTCTATACTAATTAAAATTTATATTACTATTCTAGTTACTATTATAATCTAAGATTATAGGGACCTAATATTAGTAGTAGCTAGGACTAGACTAGTAAGTAGTTCCACAAGATATTAAAGTAGAAAAGCTAGACTAATATAAGGTTATTATACCTGCTTAATATTACTTATTATTAGGATATTATAGTAGATATTAGCTATTATTTTTTATATTTATCTAGTATATTCCTGAATAATATATAGGTTAAGTAGGAATAAAAAATAGCTACTATAAAGGTAAATAAGAATCCTAATAAGATTAGGAATATTATAGATAAGTAGGCTAGTTATACTTTCTATATAACTAGGATAATATATAGCTAGGAGGTAATTAAATTTAAAAATAGTACTATTATATAGTAATTAAAATTTCAGGTATCTAGCATGGACTAGTACTAATTTTTAAGATTTATTTAGGAGGACCACCCTATATTAGGTAAGTAGGAGAACCTATAGGAGGAATAGGTAATAAATTACTAGATCTAGTAATAAGTATAATTATAGGTAGCTAATTTAGAGCAAGTATTATAGTATATAATTAAGTAGGAGATTATATTCTATAAAATATAAGGGCTAGCTATTAAAGTTATCTAGAATAGTACTAGCCTAGTTATAGTTATTATATTTATTAAGGATAGGAAGAGTATATTATTTATATTACCTATATATACTATCTTAAGGGATTATATTATTATAATTATTCTATTAATTTTATTATAAGCTAATTTAATATAGTAATACTAGATACTAGAAATTTATTATATATTATAGGAAAGCTACTACTCCCCTAATAAAGCTATAATTATACTAGTCAT